AATATGCCGAACTATGAAGCCAATATCTCTTAATAATCGGTTATGTCATGGGGAATGTCTTGGCATATTCCGCCCCCGAACAGGAAAAATATAAATGACCGAGTGTAATTGGTTTTAATTTAGCCATTGCGGGTATTTACGGCTATACTTTATATCAGCAAAAGCAAGAACAAGCCAAAATAGAAACTTTTTATCAGCAAGAAACTAAAAAAATCTGTGAAGAAAATAATATCACCGCAGAGGAATGGAAAACTATTCAAGATAGTAGTCAGCCATCAATAATAGATGAATACAACATTTTCTCTAATTCAGAGGAATTAAAAACCCAACAATTAGAAAATCTAAAAACAGTTATCCAAACCAAAGAAGAAGTCCGCCAAAAAGAATTAGAAATCCAAAAAAAGGCTGAAAACTTACAAAAGGTCACGGAACTTGAAGAAAAATTAAAAAAAGCCCGGGAAAATTTGGGTGATTCACCAATGACTTGAAATAAAATCTATGAAAGATATCCAGAGTTTAAAGAAAAATCTCTTCTTTTAAAAGAAATGGAAAAAGCAAACGAATATCTGGATCTAGAAATTGACCTAGATTTAGGGAAAGTATTAGCAACTAAAATAGAAAAATTACCTCTCCCTAACGAAGAAGAATTAGAAATTATTAGTCAGTTACGCTTAACGATGGATAAATTTGCTCTAATTGCTTTCCAAGCCCAATATTTAACTCCTAATGAAAGGCAGCAAGTAATCGAGAATTTTCCTAACTTCAACCAGGACTTAAAATTGAAGTTAATTAATTCTGGCCTTAACCAACTAGGAATAAGCACTCTCAAAAAGAAACAAATTTTTGTTAATTTCAATCATACCATCTATAATGCAAAACAAAACTTTGGTCTAACTCTCAAAGAAAAAGAAAATATTCTCCGAATGTTTATTAATGAATTGGATTTGACCAAAGAGCAACAGCAAGCATTAGAACAAGTAGGGGTAAGATTTTTCAATGCCTCCGAGTGAGTAATCGAGGAAGACCAAAAGCAACCATTATTAAAAGCCGGTTTGAGTAGAGTAAATTTGACGGAGGAACAAAAGAATCAATTAGTTAATTTACATCCTGATACTTTTAAAATCTTTTCTTTGAACGAGCAGCAAAAAAATATTCTCCAAGCCCTAGCTCCTTTAACTCGTGAAGATAAATATTCCGAGGATGGTTTACAAATAGTAAGGAAATTGGAATTAAAACCAAGTAGTCAAAACTTTTTAGTAAATGAAGAAATAATCCCTAATCCTAATTTAGATTTCGGCGAAGTAAAAAGCCCTTATTTGCCACTCAAACTGAAATTCCTAACTGGGGAACAAAAAATATTAAGAAAAGAACGGGAAGCCCAAGAAAAACAATTACGAGCCGAAGAAATATTAGCCAATAAGCAGTCCATAATTACTTCTCTATTAGAGTGATACGGAAATCAGGACGAAACCCAGTTTAATTTAACTTTGGAAGAGTATGTAAAAATTGGAGCCTTGAAGGGTTGACAAAGGGATATATTATTAACTTGCGGATTAAAAACTATTCCCCGCTACCACTTCTGGGAAATATTAATTTTTGCCGTAGAAAATTTTACTTCTTTAACTTGGCAAAGACAAGAACTATCCGAGCAGGACCAATTGGCAATAGAAGAATATCAGACCCAAATTTTAACCATTTTAGATACTTGAAAAGATAATAGTCAAGGAACCGAAAAAGAAGCGGTTAGGAAAGTAATTAAAACTTTATCTAATGACACACTGCTTTCCCATCAACAATACGCCGAATTGTCAACTCTTTTAACTAAATATCCCAACAGTAATATCAAACTTAATAACTTAGTAAAAGCCTGAGGGCAAATTAACCAAAAAGCCCTTATTCCGATTAGTGCTTGGGAACAATTTTTACAGGAAAATGATTGATTAAAAGAATATTATCAAGAATATTTAAATTCTCTAACAGAAGTCCAAATAACCATCAATAAAACTATTTTAGAAAAATATGCTTCCAGTCAAAACCCAAAAGAACGAGAAATATTTAAGGATTTAAATCTTGAAGAACTAATAAATGAGAAGATAAATCAAGCCTTAGCGGGTTATCAGCCCCAAGAAGTTTTTTATGATAGTGAAGAGGAATTGGAGGAACAGGAAGAAAATAAGGAAAGTAAAGAAACCCAAGAACCGAAACCTTCCACTTCCCGTTATGACGACTTATTTGCTAATCTCAACCAAGAAGAGGAGGAAAGACTGAGAAAAAAATTAGAAAGGGAAGAAACCCGCAAAAAATTAGAAGAAGCGGAATTAACCCGTCGCCAAAACTTATTGAATGAAAAAGATAGAAAACTAAAAGAGCAAGAAGAAAGACGGCAAAAAGAAAAAGAATTAGCCGAATTAGAAGAAAAGAAACGGAAAGAACAAAAAGCAGCCCGGGAAAAAGCCCTAAAAGAAGAACAAGAAACTCATTTAGCCAATCAGAAAAGAATTATTGAAGAACAACAGCAAGCCCGCCAAGAAGCCTTTAATAATCAGCAAAAAGAAGCCGAGTTAGCCGAGGAGAAAAAAAGAAAAGATATTGAAAACTTGGAAAAGCAAAATCAGTTTGCTAAGGAACAATTAGAGAAGCAAAAAGAACTCTTGGAAAAAGAAACCCAGGAAAAATTAAAAAATATTGCTGCGGAAGATGAAAAAGAAAGGCAAAAAATATTGAAACAACAGCAAGAACGAGAAATAGCCTTGGAAAATGAGAGAAGAGAAAATGAAAGAAATCTCCAAGTCCAAAAACAGCGTTGGGAAGATGAGTTAAAGAAACTAAAACAAAACAACGAAAAAGAATTACAAGAGGCTAAAAATAAGTTAGATGCCGAGAAAAAGAAAGCCGAAGAAGAATTAAACCGCTTAAAAGAAGAAGAAAAATTGGCCGAGCAAGAAAAAGAAAAGAGAGAAAAAGAATTAGAAAAAGCCAAACTTCTTAATAAGCAAAAGCAAGCTGAGTTAGAAAAGGAATTTGAAATCAGCAAATTACAAGCCAAGGCCTGAGACGAATTGATGAACTATTCCTTGGGTCATGACGAAGTAAAATTTGGCACTCTTTTAAATGGAAGTCCTATAAATTACCACTTTCAAAAATCCAAAAGTCGAGGTGGTTATGTCCAAATGCCCACTGTGAAAGAAATATTTCAGCAATATCCCGGAGTAAAGATTAAGTTGGTAGGAGTAAAAGATTTAAAAGACAAATTGGTTAATGAACGGCCTATGACTTTGGAGGATGTGAAAAATGTAGCGATATTAGCGGGTGAATACCCTGATTTCTATACCGAAGAGGAATGGCGACAAAAAATTAAGGAGTTAGATAAGATTGGGTTGTTGGAGTAATCATACCTAATAAATGCTGGCACTTATTAGATAAGGGGAATTTTACTTCCCCTTTTTCTTATTGCTGAATATTAGCCCGAGAATTATCAACAGGATTAGCAGGATAACTCCGCCAATTATTCAGCCTTGATAATCCTTTCAGTTAAAGTTGGAAGAGGAGGAAATACCTCCTCCTCCTTTTTGTGAGCGGTAATGAGCCTGCATACAGTAATTACTGCAAAATTTCTTGTCATCATTTTTATCAGGACTATAAACTCAATGAGCTGACTTTTTGCCACATTGAACACAAGGGACTCCATAATATTCATGCATGCAGTAAAGGCTACAGAACTTTTTGCCCTCGTCTTTTTTATCAGGATTGTAAACATATTCACCAGTAATGGTTTTGGAACATTTATCGCAAAGGGTCATATTATTTAGGTTCTTGTAATTGTTGGGCTTGGTAAGAATTTTCGCCCTGCTTTTCTTGAGCATTATTAGTTAATTCAGAAGTGACTTCTTTAGACTTACCTTTATCTTTCTGTTTTTGTCCACAGCATTCTCAACACTGAATAGGAGTATTTAATTTAGTTTTGCTTTCTGTTCATCAACTTTTAATACCTTCAACTACTTGGCTCGATATTACTTTTTGACCAAGATTTTGGGAGGTAGTTTGTTCGTTAGTTTGGAGTTTTTTTATCTCTTTTTCTAGCAACATTCTTTCTAATATTTTGATTAATTTTTTTTGCTCCTTTTCTGATAATTCTTCTTTCACTTCTTTACCTTTTTTCTCATCACCAATGCTTTGCTTGGCCCTTTCTCTAATCTGTTCTTTTTGTTCTTCCGTCAATTCTATCATTTCCAAGGACTTCTCAACCGCCTCCTCTTGGGAATTAAATCACTGCGAGAAATTATTACTTTCTTTTATTTCTACATCAAATTTTCTTTCTTCAAAAGAATATTCAACCAAATCTAAAGCATAATTTTTATTTATCCATTCCGGCAAGAAATCATTGAAAATATTACTCTGACTTCGACTGATAACTAAAATCTGGTTTTCCTTTCCTTTTAATAAGAAAATAATTTCTCGGGTGGGAAATTTAGTTTTAAATTCTGTTTTAATCTTTTCTTTTGATTTTTCATCTAATTTTATTTGCTCTTCATTGATTATTTGTTGGAAAGGTTTATTGTCGGTTTTCAGTGATTCTTCTTCAATTAAACCCCCCTGCTTATAAATAACCACCCTATTTTCTAGTAGTTTTATAGCATCAACAATTTTTTCTACCTTTTCTAATTCTTCATTAAACTTCTTTCGTTCGTTGGTTAATTCATTAACATCTATTTCTTCGTTATTATCCTCGTCATACTCATTTAAAAATTCACGAACTCTCTCTTTTAAATCTTTAAGAGCCTTATTTATTATCCCAAGATCACCCGCCTTTATTTGTTTTAGTATTCCCAATAACTCGTTATAGTTATTCAAAAAATTATCTACATCAGTTTTAAATTCTTCTCATTTTTTTTGCTTGGCATCATAAAAATTGGATTTTAATTGGGAAACTCCGGTGCCAATTAAAGGAGCCGTGAGAGCGATAACCCCCCCGGTGGTAGAAAAGTCTAATAAAGTTAAAGCACCTCCAACTACAGTAGTAGCAGTAGAAGCATATTCTATTCCACTGAGATATTTAAATCTGTCAAACTGTTCCGGAGACTTTAGTTGGCTTAGTTCAGTTTGATTATCTTTGTCTTTGGTTCCTCATTTTTTGAGAAATTGTTTAAGATTACTGCGAATAACAAATAACCTTTCAGAGGGAATAACTAAAGCAATCTTGTCTTGCTGGTCTTCTTTTCATTTAGAAATATCGTAATATTTAGTCCCTTTTAAAATAGTATTTTCTATTAGGTATTCATCAGAGATTTTTTTAATTTCTTCACTTTTTTCTAGTTTTGAATCAAGGCAATAAAAATTTTTCACACTCTCTGATAAATATTCCAAACCGTGACTGATATCAGTGACTCTAATATCCAGGCTTTCTAATTTTTTCAGTTCTTGTAAAGGTTTTAAGGAACCAGTGAAGTGACTAGGATTGGTTGATAATCCTCCTATTCACAATGTTTTTAATTCCTGAAAAGGAGTAAAAATTGTTAAATTTTGGCTCGGGAAGTTATTAGTTCCTAAACTAAGTTCTTCTAACTTTTCTGGATTGCAACTGGCTAAGAAATCTAAATTAGTTAGTTCATTACCCCAGCAATATAATTTCTCTAAATTAACTAACTCTGGCGGGAGAGTTAGGTTAGTTAGTTGATTTTGATTACATCTAATTTCCACTAAATTAAGACAGTTAGTTAAGTTGAGATTAGTTAGATTGTTTTGAAAGCATTTTAAGATTTCTAACCCCGAATAATCTTTTAAATTTAACTCGGTTAGTTTATTTATGTAACAAATAAGTTCTTTTAGTTGCAAGAAATTACTAATGTCTAAATTAGTTAGTTGGTTATTTGCACATTTAAGGATCTCTAAAACAGGACAATTATTGATTACTAATTGTTCATTATCAACAAAATTATTAATATTTATTTCTTTAAGTTTGGGACAATTAGTAATCGTTACTTTAGTGATGTTTTTAGTATTATTATTTCCCAATGCTTTAATCTCTTCCAACTTTGGATAATCACTAATTATTAGTTCTCCTGGTTCGGATAGTTGTAAGGTATTGCTATTAAAAGTTATTTGCTTAGTATCATTTTTATTGGAATAATCCTGATTTAGGTATTCTTGAATATTTTTTACCATATTTTTATTATTTTTACTTATCTTATCTTTTTTTATGTTATATTTCGTTTATATGTAGAATTCATCTCTTAATCCAATTTATTGTGAACTCTTTTTCTCTTATTTTAATCTTCGATAAAATATCTCTGTCTATTTTTCCCAGCAAATCAGTATTTAACCACTATCTACTGAGCCTAAAAAAGTAAAAATATTCTCCTCTAATTTATTAAAAGTAAGTAATTTTAGACCAAAATATCCTCTAAAAGAATTATTTTCCCGAGAATTAGAAACTATTTTGCTCTCTCTCTGGTCTCCGACAACAATCGTTCTTTCAGAACTTCATGTTTCTCTTGCTGATTGTTTAAAGAGTAATTGCTTTTCCATGTCATATATATTATAATTTTATAAAGATTACTATTCAGAAAACATTATATATAAAATTATAATATAGATAAAAGTGTGGTAGGGAAAGTTAGAAGTGATTGTTGAATTAGAGGTTGGGAATGACCTGATTATTAAGTAATTTTTCCAAAAAACTTCTGTTTATTTTAGCAAACATAATGACAAGTTTAATTTAGCACCAGTTTTTACTCCATCTAACGAAAAAAAAGAAATCAAGGTCGAATTTTTTGGTGATTCTCTGGAAAAGGGCGGATATGGCAAATGAGCGAGTTTAGAAGAAAATTTTTTACTCTTTTTCATTAGCAAAAATCACCCACGAGTTAAAGAATTGTTAAGTCAAGGTAAATTACAAATAAATAAAAGGTTCATTATTCATTATGGAAAAGTTGACGAAGTGTCTCCAAAAGGTTCTGTTTATACTTTTAATGAAAACAATCAAGAATTAGAAATTATAGAGGCCTAGGAGTTAATAAAAAATGACAGTAAGTAAATTTTATTCTATTTTAATATTCTCAACCCTGGACCCATGGCAGTAGAAAGAGTTACATTTTTCAGAAATTCTCCTTTTCAACCGGTTGGTTTTAATTCGGTTATTTTGCTATATACCACTTTATAATTTTCAGCCAACTGCTCGGAACTAAAATTGCTACTGCCGATTACGGCCTGAATATTGCCTCCTTTGTCGGTCTTTAACTCTGTTTCTCCTTGTTGAAATTTGGCAATCTCTTCCACTATACTCTCGGTTAGAGAACCATTTTTTTTGGTCGGATAAAGCCCTTTGGGACCTAGTAATTTTTGTAATGGTTTAACTGCCTCTTCGCTAGAAGAATGAGCCAATATTTTTTCGAAATCCCAACGAGATTTTTTTTGTTTCTCTACTTGCTGACGAACTTCGGCCGCAGTCAACAACTTGACTTCATTATTTTTTTGACATTCTGCCAAAATGTCCTCAGGCAACCCCTCCTTAATTATCGCTATTTTTCTTTCTTTTTTGACTACATGAGGCAAAATTAATTTAGTTTTCAGCACATTTTTTTGGTTAACTCAGTGAAGAGAAAAACTAATTTTGATATTTTTTAATTTCTCAGGATTATTGGTCCGCAAAAATTCGATTGCCTCCGGCAAATTGTAATACTCATTAGCAACTTTTTCTTTGATTTCTCGATAACGATGGGAACGTTTCATATATTATTAAATTATTTTATACAAAGTTGAAGATGGGTTTTTTAATTTAGAATATGTCGGATAATGAAGGTGGCTCGTGGTTCGTTGTGGTTTTAAAATAAAATTTATGCTTTACTCCTATCAAGATTGTTGAAATTATGCTCTTTCTTTACGGGAAAATGTTGACCTTGCCGAAGTAAAAAATGACATAATTGCCCTTTGTCAAACCGTCCCGGAGAAATTTTGGGCTGATTTTTCGCACAAATCTATGTCTACTTCGGAATATTTGCAGACTTGCCATAATTTAAGCAGGTATTTGCAAGGAAATTATCCGGTTCCCTATTTAACGAACCAAGCCTCTTTCTACGGCCTGAATTTTTTGGTGGAAAAAGGGGTTTTCATTCCCCAATCAGATACCGAAATATTGGTAAAAAAAACCCTTGAATGAGTGAATAAGTGCTGAAAAAGTGAAAAGAAATTAAAATTTTTGGATATCGGTACGGGTTGTGGAAATATAGTAATTTCTTTGGCGAAAAATCGGCCAGCAGATGATTTTTTGGCTGTGGATATCAACGAGCAGGCCTTAAAAGTGGCGAAAATAAACGCCGCTCGTCAGGAAGCAAAAAATATTCGATTTATCAAAAGTGATTTATTTAGTAATATAGACAAGAAAGAAAAATTTAATATTATTATGGCTAACCCACCTTACGTCAGCGAAAGTGAATATCAAAATTTAGCTCCGGCAGTCAAAGAGCAGCCCCGAAAAGCCTTAATAGCCGCCAATGAGGGCTATTTTTTCTATCAAAAAATTTTCCGTCAGGCTCGCCATTTTTTAGCAAAAAAATTCCTTTTAATGGTCGAAATTGGCTCCCGGCAAGCCGAAAATGTCATAAAATTAATAATAGAACATTTGGCCCGAGTTCAAATTTCTATTTTCCCCGATTATTCAGGACATCCACGAGTGATAATGATAATTAGCAAGTAAATAAAAGGTTTGGTAGCTCAGTCGGTTAGAGCGTCTGACTGAAGATCAGAAGGTCGGCAGTTCGATTCTGCCCTAAACCACCAGTACATAAATATAAATTAAAATAAAAATATATGGTAATACCACGAAAGACAGTAGCAACAAAAGTAACAGTGATAGGAAAAGCCGGATTGGCTGAAAGAGTTTATAATTCAAAGGGTCGTTATTCAGAGGGTCGAAGAAGTTTATTAAAATCATTAAGCAAATCACAAATTGATGCCGTGATTGGTGGAATATTAGAGGAAATCGAAAAAGCTCTCATTAAAGGAGAGAAGGTTAGTTTTCCAGGATATTTTTCTCTACAAACAACATTACAAAAGGCTCGTGTGGCCATGAATTTACAGACTAAGAAAAAAATGAATATTCCGGCCAAAAGGGTTCCTAAAGCGAAATTCTCTGTTGATTTAAAAAATGAGATTAGCAAAAAAAGTAAATAATAAAGAGCGGAAAGTAAAATTTCCGCTACTGCGAATATAGCTCAATGGTAGAGCCATAGCCTTCCAAGCTATTGATGGGGGTTCGATTCCCCTTATTCGCTCCAAACAAAGTTATTAAATCATTAAATCAAGGTAAATAAGTTATAAAATTATAAATATGAGTAATAAAGAATACAAAATAAAGTTTCATAAAAAAGGATTGAGTTTAGCAAGTGATAGTAATAAAGATAAATACGAAGTGCGTACAAAAGACGGCAAGGATCAGGTGGTGAAATTTGCTGAAGACGCTAAGAATGATAGCACAGCTGAAGAAGGCATAGAATTAGAGTGCAGAAAAGATGGCGCAAGTGATAAGTGAGAGAAAGTTACAGTAGATAAAGGAGATATCAAATACCAAGATTCATTTTGGTTTAGAGGGGTAAAGATAACAAAAAAACAATTGAAATCTGGTGTAGAATTGAAAGAAGAAGTACAGCCATGGGCAGGTGTTGGTTTTGTCAAGTCAAGAAAATTACCATTTTGGGCAGTAGTGATTGTTGCTATTTTATTATTAATTGGGCTTATCTGATGATGAATTGCTTCCAGCCGCAAAGAGGACAAAGAGGAAGAAAGTTTATAAGCGAGGAGTAGTAATTACTCCTCTTGCCGACTATGTTTGTTAAATTAGTTAAGGAAACGGATTTGGATACTTTTCTCCAGAATAATCACGATAAATTGGTGTTGGTGAAATTTTCAACGACTTGGTGTCCGCCTTGTCGGGTGCTACAAAAAAATATTCAGGAGTTGATGGCAGAATTGGAAAAATCAGCCGCACCGAAAAAAGATTTATTGGTGTTGGAAGTGGACGCAGAAAAGTTTCCTCGGCTAGCCCAGAGAGAACAATTTCGCGTTTCCTCTGTGCCGACCATTTTTCTTTTTCAGCAAAGCAAAATGATTAGAAAAAATAATGGCGTCTTGGGCGGACAAAAGTTGCGGGATTTTATCGGTGTTTAGTGAGGCCCGTTGGTGCAGTGATTAACACATCTCCCTTTCACGGAGAAGACCGCGGGTTTGAATCCCGCACGGGTCACCAAATTATTGTTAATTATCAGTGATTTTTGAGTTAAAGTGCAGTAGCAAATGGCAATTAACCCTTTGTCAAAAAGCGAAGAGGCGTAGTTTAACGGCAAAACATCGGCCTTCAGATCCGAGAATGTGGGTTCAATTCCTGTCGCCTCTGCCAGGTTTGTCGGCCCACATCGCGCAATTGGTAGACGCAGCGGGCTTAAGATCCGTCCAGTGTGGGTTCGAGTCCCACTGTGGGCACCATTAGAGGTTCTGTGGTGGAGTGATTAACACGCCTCCCTGTCACGGAGGAGATCGCGAGTTTGATTCTCGTCAGGACCGCCAGTTAAAATTAATTTAATGATAAAAGTCAAAATTTTAGATAAAAACAATAAAGAATCATCTTTTCTTATTTTCAAAAAAGTTTCCTCTTTTGCTCTCCGAAATTACAGAAAGAATATGTATTTTCAGAAGAAGAAAAATAAATAGAATATTTTACCGAAGGCTAAAAATAGATAAAATGTTTTGCTGAAGGCTAAAAATAAATAAGAATATTTTGTCGTGGGTCAAAAACAAATAATAATGTTTTTTAAGATTAAAAATGGATGAAAGTAACAAAAAGTAATTTTAAGTATGAAAGAAATTAAAGGTTTTACTTATCGGGAACTTGGCATGGCAGAAAGCAGAATTAAGTTGGAAAAAGACCCTAAAGTGGAGTATGAACTGAAAATATTGGATAAAAACAAAAAGGAAATCGAAGAGTATGATTATATTTCTCCTACTGACAGCGAAGTAGTAATTATTATAAAAGTTAGTTGAGAAATTGGTATATATTCAGAGAACGAAGTAGGGGACGTTGAATATCAGTTGCCTAAATCGGATGCTTGAGATATATCAAATGGGTCAATTAGGATAAAAAACATGCCCGAATACGAACGAAAAACAAAGGAGGCTCACAAAAAATTACTAAAAGAAAAAAAACCCGAATTATTTAACCGCAATGAAAAACAGGGCCACAGGTCTAGCAATATTGAATTTAATATTACGGAGGAAAATGGCAAAATGCAACTAACCTTTTACAAAAAAGGCGAAACTGGTCTTACCCCTCGCGTTTTTTCCGAAGACCGCATTGATATTCAACCGGAATATTATGAAACCATAAAAATTACTCATGCCGAAGGAGGTGAAAAAATTGAGGAAAAGACCGATAAACTTCAACCGACTGCGGGCTGAATTATTTTCTTTTTCCTTTTAGTAGTGGCTCTGTTATTAGTGGCCGTTTTCTGAAAAAAGATTTGAAAATGGATAAGAGGTGAAAGGGAACAAGAAAAAAAAGTTAAGGAACAATTAGATATCTTTTAAAATTAAAATATACTATGAAAAAAAAAATTCATTTACCGCTTCATAAAATAATTGTTACTTGTTCTTATTGTAGTCAACAATATCAAACAATTTCTACTGCTTCACAAAATATTTCAAGTAGTAGTTGTAGCAATTGTAATCCCTTTTACACAGGCACTTTGGCTAGCGAAATAAATGTCGGAGCCGTGGAAAAATATCGGCAACGAGAACAAAAAAATACTAAATAATTTATTTCAGTGCAATCCTAGCAAAAATGCTCCCAATTCTCTAAGTGGTGAGTAGTTCACAGAAAAAAATTATAAATATGATAAAAAAAGAAAAATATAGAGGGATATTTTCAAGTATACAGAAATATGAAAAAAAATTTTTTTATATTCTACTATTTTCCCACATTTATTGCCTAATTTCAGGTTGATTTAATGCGGGGGATAAGATTAATTTTCCAGGTCAATTTTTTTGACACTTTTTAGCCTGATGGTGTACTTGAAACAGCATTTTAACCCTCGGTTTTATCCTCTGAAAATTGATAAGGCGACCTAGAAATAATACCTATGCTTATCAAATCTTTTCCCTGATAGTAACGATTAGTAATATAATGACTATGCTAATTTATGGTCTGGGCTTAATTATCTGATTAATCACAGGTTTAACTACCTATTGAGGAATTACGAGCAAAACAACCAAATTGGTCCCCATCCCAAGCCACGTAATAAATTATTCAGATCGTCAGTTGCTTAAAGTAATTCAATGGTGGCTCTATTCACCAATTTGACATTTTATTGCTCCGGCCTATTTTTTAGTCTGATTTTTTCGCCACGAGCGGACAGACTTACTGAAAAAGAGATTAAAATTAACGTTTTTGCTTTGCTTCACCCAGCCCGCTCTCTATTTTGCTTATTGCTGATTTCGCAGTAAATTGGGCGACAGAGGGTATTTTAAAAAATTTAATGCTCGGTGAACCTTGCCTTTTTTAAGTTCCAGAAAAATGAGCGAAAAATTAGGTGTTGACAGCGATTACCGTTTCATTTGGAAAATTATTTTGGTTATCTTTTGGTTTAGTTTATTTAGTTTGCTAACTTATCTAATTTTGCGTTATCGGAAACAAATAAAGCATTATTTATCAAGCAAAAAACAGGCCTTAACAAGGAAGAAACAAGAAGTTCATGGTTCAAGGTTTATTGGCAAGAGAAAGGACGGCCGAGAGGGAGTTCTTGACGTAAGTCAGAGAGAGAGAGAGAGAGACGATAAATGAATAATCACTGCTTAATTGTTCGTTATGGGGAATTATTTTTGAAGGGGAAAAACCGAAATGTTTTCATTCAAAAATTAGTCGCTAATATTATTTTAACTTTTCAAAAAAATAATCTTTTTAATTTCAAAATTAAGAAACTCCACGACCAATTGATAATTACGAACCACAACGACAATGAATTGCCAAAAATGGCCTCTTTTTTAAACCAAGTATTTGGAATTAGTGCCTTTTATCTGGCCTATCAACTAAAAAATGATCTAGAAGAACTTTACAATTTTGTTGAGAAAATTAATGATTATTGCCAGATTAATTTTAATACTTTCAAATTTGACATTAGAAGGAGCGACAAAAATTTTCCAAAAAACTCCTTGACTTTACAAAAAGAATTAGGGGGAATTGTGGTTAGAAAGTGGGGCTTAAAAGTCAATTTAAATCAGCCGCAAAAAATTTTTTATATCCGAATTTACCAGAATTTTATCCTTTTTTTTGCTGATAAAATGAAAGGGTTAGGTGGCCTGCCGGTTGGCAGTTCCGGAAAGGTTTTATTACTTTTAAGTGGGGGGATAGATTCTCCGGTGGCTGCTTATCAACTAATGAAGAGGGGCTGCGAAATTGTTTATTGCCATTTTTACCATCAAAAAGAGGGGCAAAAGAAAATCTTAATGCTGGGGGAAAAATTAAGTCCTTACAATAATTATGTTCAGGACATTTATTTAATTAATATTAAACCTCTTTTCACCGAAATTAGCCATATTAGCCAAAACAAATACCGCCTAATTATTTTGAAAAGAATGTTTATTCGTTTGGCTTGTTCCTTAGCCCAAGAATTAAAAACTGATGCTATTGCGACTGGTGACTCATTATCCCAAGTAGCTTCGCAGACCTTAGAAAGTTTAGCAGTGATTCAGCAAGTTAGTTCGTTAATTGTCCTTTGCCCTTTAATTAGTTGGGACAAAAAAGAAATAATTGCTGCTGCCGAAAGTATTGAGACTTATGGTTTTTCTTTGCAGAAATACGAAGACTGCTGCTCCTTATTTGAACCTAAAAATCCGATAACCAAGCCCAAAAAAGAGGTAGTAGAAAAGTTAGAAAAAGAGATTTTCTGGTCCGAAGTTTTGGAAGGCATTAGGAAAAATAGCCAAAGATATTTTCAATTAGACAAAGACAAGAGTAAAATTTAACATAGTTTAATAACAAAAGGTAAAGTTTTGCCAGTTTGATAAATAAAGAAGCGGTTTTAGAAAAAGATATAATGAGGCTTAGTTAGATAGCAAGGGTCTAGCACTATTGTGCTTTAAGAAAAGAACTTAATTAAAAAGGATAATAAATGAACTAAAATTGATAACTAAGTTAGATATAAAAAGGAGTTTTGAGGTTTTAGATAATAAGCCTTATAAATAAAATAAATTACTACTTTTTTCATAATTAATGTCCGCTTTTGATGGTGAAATCAAAGTCTAAACAATCTTTAAAATACTTTCTCAAATCTTCTTGTTGTAATAATTTTATTTTATAATCTAAAACTTTCCTTAACTCTTCCTCTGTTTTTGGTTCCTGACTTTCGACACAACTTTTAATCACATTAAAAACCAACTCGGTAGGATTTAATCAAGGATTAGCTGCGACTATGTATTTAGGTTCAATATCATTGTTAATCATTGCTTCTTTAACCCTAACAGATTTATGAAATGGGATATTATCCATTAGCAAATAATATTTTCCCTCACTAGGAATTTCAACCCTAGAAATAAAATTAGCAAAAATCTCTGTATTCACAGAACCCTTAATTAATTCTCAATAGATTATTCCTCCTTTTTCCACATTTCCAACCAGCAAAATTAAAGAATAATTAGTAGCATAGTGTTTATTGAAACGAGTAACCTTTTGACCTCTTGGACCTCAACCTTTTCGTGGAGCCAAGTTTAAAGGATATCCGCTTTCATCAGTGGCTAAAATGAGATGCTGAGGCAACTTGCTAACTTCTTCCATAAAATCCAAAGTCTCAGCTAAGTTCTGTTTCTGTTTAGGATTACGATAATGGATTACTTGGTGAGAATATTTGATTTTCTTTAATATTCTATAAATAGTTGGTATACTTAACTGTAAACCAGTTTTTTTAGAAACATAGTTGGATGCTTCTCTTAGTGTTTTTGCTTCCTCAGTTTGAAGAGAATGGATTAAGTGATAAAAGGACTTTCTGTCTATTTTAAACTTCGGTCCTACTTTTTGAAGAGGTAAAGTTCGCTTTTCTCTTCATCTCCTTAGAGTTCGGTCAGTTTTCTTAAACCTTTTAGCAGTCTTTTCCCATTTTTTATCTATTTCATGTAGACTTTCCAGAAGCTCAACTAGTCCCTCATGGGTTTTAAAGAAATTGATTGGTCTACGAGTAAGTTCATTCTCTATTTCACTAATTTTTTTCTCAAACTTTTCTTCTCATAAACCTAAGTCCTTTTCTTCTGTTGCTTCTCTAAGGTCATCAATATTTTGATTGAAGTCATTATAAAGTCAATATTGCCTTTTCTCATCCCAAGAGAGTTTTAGTTTACCCACTAAGCCACGGATGTATCTAATTGGATAGTTATTTATGAACTGACCCTCCTTATTAGTTTGAATGTCTAAAAATGTGTATCTCCAAAATTGTTTACTTATTTTTTCTGCCTTAATTATTTTGGAAAGTTGCTCCACACCAGACTATATAGTATATTTTATACTTAATAAAATATAAGAATATTAATTTATTCAACCTTGCTAAAATTTTCAGCCGTTATTTTCTTGTAATCTTCCATACTTTGTTTAGCTAAATCACTATACAAATGAGCTTTCAAGAGGTAATCCACTCTTTTTTTCTTTTCAGATGGCATGTCTCCTACTTTTAAGTTTTCTAATAGATTGAACAAAGCAATTTTCTTTTCGTAAGGACTTTGAGAACCTTTTAGAATTTTTTTTACTCCTTTATTAAAATTAATAAATTCCTTTTCTCACTCCCTTACTGAACCTTTCATACAAAGTTGACAGTGTTCTTTCCGGCATGGTTTTCTATCATGTGCCGATATCTTTTTTACCATATCCCCTATTTTATTATAGGGGTTATTTTTTCTTTTAGTCATGGATAGTAATTATAAATTATTTTAGTATTTTAATATTTTCTACTTGATAATAGCTCTCTCGCTAACACCGCTTTATCTGAAACTCTTTTCCATTTAAATAAGTTAAGGGTGCCGGCAATTTATTAAATATAATTTTATAAGCAAATAAATAAATCTTGTCTTTTATTTCCGTTTGGCTACCATATTTTTTATCACCAACAATTGGCAATCCAAAATAGGACAAAATGCTGCGAATTTGGTGTTTTCTCCCTGTGTGTAAAGTAATTTCTAAGGTCTGATAATTGTTTTTGGTATTAATTTTTTTCGCTTCGAGAGCACAGAATTTGGCTTGAGGATTGGTTGATTTTGGGGAAAATTCCATTTTTTGTGCTAGGTTATTTTTTCATAAATAACCACTAATATAACCAGGCAATATTTTTTTAGGTTTTTTTTCGCATGTCGCTAAATATTTTTTGGTTATTTTGCTTTTGTCAGCCATGGCCTGGTATAATACTCTCTTGGCGGAGGGATTTTTTGGATAAATGACAAGTCCTTTGGTTAATTTATCCAGTCGATGAGCGGCTATCAAGACAAAAAAATTATCCATTTGATACTGGTATTCTGCTGGGTCCTTTTCGGCTAAGTAATACCGAACAGCGTTGTCTAAACTCGGCATGGTTATTCCATGCTCTTTGAGAACCAACAGAATATTTTGGTCCTCGTAAATAATTTCAAAATATATTTTTGATTGAGAAAGTGGATAAACGGCCAAATTGGTCTTTTGTAAATAATTATCATGAATCTCAACTTCCTCACCTTCTTTTAGCCGGTGATGGTAATAACGAACATTTGTCCCATCAATTTTTATTTTTTTGGTGCGAAATAATTTGTAAATTAGGCTTAAAGGTGTGGTTTTAAACCTTTTTTTGAGAAAACTAATTATAGTCTGGTCGGTTTCTTCTTTCTGAATAACAAATTTAATCATTAAATTAATTTAATTACACTTCTACTTTGATTTTTATTACCTTTCCATGATAAATTTCATCTACTTGACTTTGTTCCCTCAATATTTTCACAATTATTTTCAGATTTCCTTAGCCAAAAAGATTAGGGAACGAAAATTACTTGATTATCAAGTTTATAATTTGCGGGATTTTGCTGTCAAAGGTCAGGTTGACGATTATCCTTATGGAGGAGGGGCTGGAATGGTTCTGAAAATTGAGCCACTAGTAGCGGCTCTGGCTGCTATTCAAGAGGCGTATCCTGAAAGTTATCTCATTTTGCTCTCTCCCCAAGGACGAACTTTTACCCAAACCGAAGTGCCGAGACTACTTAACCAATCATCTAATCTGGTTTTTATTTGCGGACACTATGAGGGATTTGACGAACGGATTTGATATTATATTGACGAGCAAATTTCGATTGGTGATTTTATTACTATGGGGGGAGAAATACCCGCTTTGGCAATTACCGATGCCCTAATTCGGGCTATTCCAGGAGCCATCCAAACTGAGTCTTATCAACAAGAGACTTTTCAAAATTCCCAATTAGATTTTGCTACTTATACCCGCCCGGAAGAATTTGCTGGTCTAAAAGTGCCAGCAGTTTTGCTGTCCGGCAATCACAAAGAAATTGACAAATGACGAGTGCAAAATAGGCAAGAAAAGACCAAACAAAAAGAAAAATGATATAAAAATAATAATAAAATTGTCCCAAAATAGCAAAAAAAAATGTATTTATTTTTGCCCAACAAAATATTCTTATTCATTTTTATCGTTTTTTTTGGATTCTTCTTCTCCCACAATTCTTTTTCAACTGGCATTATCCCTTTTTATAGCCTTTCAGGCAAAATAAGTGTAAGCCAAAGCGTAAATAATACTAATAATTAAAAAAAATATTGCCCCTATTTTGCGACGGTCCTCAGGATTAGGAAAAAAATTGAAATAACTGCCAATTACAATAAAAGGCATAGCAATCCCGGCCGCAACCACAAAAAATAACTCAATAAAATTTTTTATGTTCATAATCTATATTTTTTTTAATTTCATCTATCATAACTTCGTTTGTTGTTCTATAACTATATCATTTACCAGAACAGCATATTTGCTAACATAAATATATTTTCGCGGAGGAGATATATCATATCTACTTTTTAACTCTTTGAT